CTGTCCATTTTTTTACTGAATCTTTTATTTTGGGAAGTCTAATTTTTTTTTAGTTCTTTACACGTCTTAGATATGAGTCCTCTGACTGAGGAATAGTTGGCATTTTTTTCCCGTTCTGCAGGTTGTCTTTTCACTGTTGGTTCTTTTGCTGTGTATGCAGATTTTTAAATTTGATATGGCCCCATTTGTTGATTCTTGGTACTATATCCAGTGCCTCTGGGGTTCTGTGCAGAAAGCCCTAACCTACACCAATGACTGCAAGAGTTTTACCTATTTATTTTCCAGAAGTTTGTTTCTTTTGCAGGGGGCGGGTACCAGAAACTGAACTTGGGGCCTTGGTGCCTGCCAGGCAGGCAGTGGAACCACTGAGCTAAATCCCTGGCCCAGTATTTCTTTTTAACATTTAGTATTGATCCCTTTTTATTTTAGTACATAGTGAGAGATAAGGGTCTAGATTTGATATTCTGCGTGTGGACAGCCATTTTCCCAACACTATTAAAGACATTATTTTTCCTCCAATGCACAATTCAATCTTCCTTTCCTCTAATGCCCATTTTTATCTTGCCTAATTGCTTTGCTAATGTTTCAAGGACTGTGCTGAACAGAAGTGGAAATAGTGCACATCCTTGTCTTCTACCAGATTTTAGAGGGAAGCTGTTTTCCCCATTTAACAAGATGTTGGCAGTAGGTTGTCATAAATGGCTTTTATGAGATTGAAATAAGTCCTCCTTATACCTATTTTCTTCTGTGTTCTTGACATGAAAGAACACTTGATTTTGTCAAATGCCTTTTCTGTGTCTGTTGGGATAATCCTGTGATTTCTGTCCTTGCTTCTGTATGTGATGCATTCCATTTATTGATTTGCATATGTTGAACCATCCTTGCATCCCTGGGCTAAAGCCTACTTGGTCATGATGTATGATCTTTTTGATAATTCATTACATTCTGTTCACTAGTATCTTATGGGAAATTTTTATATCTACATTCATACATGAGATTGGTTTATAATTCTGTTTTTTGGTTGGACTCTTGTCTGTTTTGGATTTGGGGTAATGCAGCTTCCAGGAATGACTTTGGATGTTTGCCTTCCATTTCAATTTCATTAAAGAGCTTGAGGGGTATTGGCATTGGATCTGCCCCAAAGCTTTTGCAGGATTCAACAATAACTCCAGCTGGAGCTCGGCTTTCCTTAGTTAGCTTTTCTTAGTAGTTCTTTATTACTGCTTACATTTATTGTCTTTTCTTGGGTTAGTTTTTAAATCTTGGTTCAGCTTGGTAACTCATATGTATCTATATAAATCTAACATTCCTTCTATATTCTCTTATTTACAGGTTAAAGAAGTGTTTTATAATCCTTTTACTTTGGTAATATCTGACTTTTTTCATTTTTAACTGCACTGAATTGGGACCTTTTGTTAGATTGGCTAAGGGCTTGTCTATTTCTATTCTTTGAAAGGACCAAGTCTGATTCATTCTTTTTTAGTCTTTCATTAATTTCTGCTCTGATCTTTATAACTTCCTTCCTATACTTTGAGTTTGGATTGTTGTTTTTCTCGTACCTTGGGATGCATCATTAGTTATTTACTAATAAGCCTTCCTCTTAATTTTTGCGATGTGGGCAATTCACAGAGTATGAATTCCCTCTTTGGACTGCTTTCGTTGTCTCGTAAGTTTTGGTATGGCATAGTAAGTAACATTTGCATTTAGTTCTAAAAACTGTCTTGTTTCTTGATTTCTTCTGTAACACATTGAGGATATTTAGTCTCCATACATTTGCATAATTTCTGTACTCTTTGTCACTGACTTCTGGTTTCATTGCACTATGGTCAGATAATATGCATGGTATAATTTCAATTCTTTTTATTTACTTAAGCTTGCTTCATTGGCCAGTATATGGTCTATTTTGGAGAAAATTCCAGGTGCTACCGAGAAGAAAGTATATTCTATCAAGTCCATTTGTTCAAACGTTTTATTCCATTTGATTTTTTTTTTTCTAGTGGACCTATTTGTTTTGTTTTGTTTTGGTACTGGTGATCGAACTAGGGTCCTTGCGCTTACAAGGAAGGTGGCAGAACCACTGAGCTACATCCCCGGCCCTAGTTGACCTATTTGTGATACTAGGGTACTGATGTCTCCCACTATGATTATCTGGCCTTTTATTTCCAGAAGCAATTGTTTTATGAAGTTGAGTGCACCGTTGTTTGGTGCCAATATGTTACTTTTTGTCTCTTCCTGTTGGATTGTCCCTTAACTAGCATGTTGTGACTTCATATCTTTTGATCAGTTTGAAGTCCATGGTTTCTGAATACAGGATAGCCAGGTAGTCATCATGTCCCCCACCCCCACCGCCCATTCCATTGCATGGTATATTGTTTCCTATCCTTTGGTTTTTAGTCTCCAAGTTTCTTTTGGGGTTAAACGTGTTTGCTCTGTGCAGCACACCATTGGATTTTGTTTCTTGATCCGTCCTGCCAATCTGCGTCTTCTGACTGGGGAACTGAGAGCACTCACATGAGTACATTATGAGTAGGTGCTGACTCCTCCCCATCATTGCTTTATCTTCCTGTTGCTGATTACGTATCTTTCCCTTCTACTTAACTGTTCCCGCTACCTGGTATATTCGCTGTTATGGTCAGCTTCATTATCTCTTTCTGTAATATCGTTCAGATTTGGGGGAAGTGCTGGTTTGGTCATAAATTTCTTTAGGTGCTCTTTATCATGAAAATATCTTTATTTCTCCATCAATTCTGAAATAAGGTTTTATAGGATATATCAGCCTGGGTTGTAAATTGTTTTCTTTTAGGGCTTGAGATACTTTACTCCAAGCTCTCCTGGCCTTTACAGTTTGTGTTGAAAAATCTGCTGTAAATCCTAATGAGTTTACCTCAATAGGTGATCCATCACTTTTCTGTTTTTAAGATTCTGTTCTTGTGTTGAACCTCTGGGATTTTGACTAGGATGTGTCTTGGAGAGGTTACTTTTAGACTGTGGCTATTTGGGGTTTTATATACACCTCATTTATAGGTTAAATCTGTATGTTTTTCATTTATTTGGAAAGTTTTCTATTATTTCAGTAAACAAGTTTTGTATACCATTCATATGGTCTTCTGACTTTTCATGAAGTCTGGTTGATCTTAGTTGTTTTTGTACCATCTAGAAGCTTGGTATTTTTCAGGTTCTCTTGTTGTTTCCAAGGTCTCTCTCATTAACTGGTCACCGCCAACAGCCCCAGATCCTAGTTCTGACACTGTGACATCCTATTGGTCACTTCACCTGGTCATAGTTGCACTAGAATTTTTAATCTCCAGGGTTTCTATTTGGAGGCTTTTTGTGGACTCTTAATTCTTTTCTCCACTGGTCATTCATGTTTTGCATCATCTGGCTTAGCTCTGCCAGCTTTTTGTTAGTGGGCCAAATAGTTTACAGAAAACACTGTTTACTTACATCTTCTGTGAGCTTGAGCTTATCAAATGCCTTATTTTTTAACTCCTGATATAATTTTGAGAGAGGAAACCTCTTCCTCTTCCATGCCCCGTGGATCAGCTTTGGGGGAGCTGAGTGTTTCTGGAGGCATTTTGTTGGTTTGTCTTCTCATGTTTCTAATTGTTTTTGTGTTGAGGCTTGCAGTTGATTTTAGTGGAAATTTTTTTCTAGTATGGAGACCTCTTTAGTTACTCTGTACATTTGAGCAGTGTCCTCTGTGTGAGAACTACTGGTTTGTGCCCTCAAGATCTAACCACCACCATTTACTTGAGATAGGTATTTGCAGTGTGTTTCGCCTCATACACAGTTACCCAGGAATGGGCCACAATATTGCTGATGACCCCAAGGCAACCTAGGTATTTCCATCCTAAGAAAACCAATCAGTAGCAACAGCTATATCATGTTTGCCACAGTAATAATATCAGCATCATTACAGAATCAAACACAAACTGAGTATTGCCAAATCCTGAGGACCCGTAACCATGAGAAGGTCTGCAATTATAGTATCAACACTAAGACAAACCAAATACTGACCTACTATTGACCCAGTGTAAATGACTGCTAAATGGAGCAACTTTCTCTCTAACAGTAGAACAGTGTTCAGTAACAGTAGCTTAAAGGTAACTGTCTAGAGATTCATACAGCTTTGTAGCTATACTACTAACGGTAGAAAGGGCAGAGAACCAGAAAATGCAAAAAGCAAAATTTGAGAAGTGGGACAAGAGCAGGAAGAGAAAAAGTGGGGGTCCAGATGCTTTCCATACCTGCAGGCTTGGGATCCAGCAGTCCTGACTTTCTCCACTGGCTTTGGGGCCCGTGGGCTTTTGAGGTGTCCACCCTGCAACAGAGGCCCCCACATCTGCCCACCCCAGACCGCTTGCTGTCCAGTCAAGGCATCTTTGCTCCCACTCACAGATGGGAGAGCCATCGCCTCTGGTCTCTGCTGGCTGTGGGCTTGGGTGGGGGCCCAGGGGACTGTTGTGCTCAACGCTGGTGGTCACAGGGCCTGCTCACTCTCGTCTCTTACTGGCCACTGTCCTATTCGGTCTGCGACCTGAACTGTGGTAAGAATTGAGTCCTGAACCAAGTCAGCACTGTACCTGAGTTTCAGGTGCAAAGCTGGGTAACCTTCCAGATTCTCATTAAATCAGTGTTAGTGTGATGTGGTGTCGCAGAGGCTGCAGCACATGGTCACTGGGTTCTGACCATGCCCAGTCTGTGGGTGGCCCTGGACCTGCTGACTCTGCGATCCTGTGTGTCGGACGCGGTCCCTGCCTGCGGCAAGCAGAATCCACCCAGGAGTACAGGGAGCCCTTGCCTCTCTCCCACCACATGGTCTCCATCTGGCCCATGCAGTCTCCCCTCCGCCAGAATGGCCTCTGTACATCAGGCACTCAGTAAATACTGGTGAACGAAGCCACTGCCTAAGACCTTGAAAACTTTAAAAACATTGAAAACTTTAAAAACATTATCCAAGAATGCGAGACCAGACTGTTTAAATGGGCCAAACTAAGATAAAACTCTAACAAATAACATTTATTCTTCTTTTACATATGTGTTTCACAGCATGAACATCACATCGCCTTCAGCGAAAGGTGCTTTTATACCGTTATATTTCACTATTTACCACACAGGCATTAAACAGTCTTTAACATGATGAGACAATTTGCTGGTAAACATGTAGACACACACACACTGGATTCAATATCTCAAGAACATATTTTTGGTCATAACCTAGGAAATACATCAAAATATGACAACACTGGCTAATATTTTATAAGCAAATGATATTTAACTCTGCATAGTTTATACAATAGGCTGTGGCAATAAATAGTATCACCAATCTCATCAACTATTATTAACTGGCCACAAAAAGCCTAACATTCATCTGAGTTGATATGAAATGCTCTATTGGTGTAGTTTCAACATAGCCGTAAATGTTCTAATCTTGAACAATAAAAAGAAAAGGTAATAAACCGGACCAAGAAGGTGTTGTGGTTAACTAACAAATGTGTCCTGTTCACATTACATTCCTAACATTAAGACAAATATTTAAATAGAAAAACTAGCAGTCCAAAAAATGTTGAATGTGCAAATCATGAGGAAAACGTTGCATTTAAATTTGCACTCATTGCAAGTTACAGTACGAGCTCAGTATAAACACTAACAGGAAAGATACTCAGCAGGAAAGAATGAAACGGCCTCCTGTGCACCGGCTGGGGTCGCACATCCAGCACGGCAGGCGGTGCCTCGTTGGGAGGAGGAGCTGCAGGCATGCGGTGACCGCGAGACAAGGAACCTGAGTCAGCAGCGGCTCCCGCGGAGTGCTCTGCAGACATTCCTGGGAGTTCATTTGCTCGCTGGCAGCCGCAGGCGTTTCGGAATCAGGTTTGCGGAACTCTGGAAGAAGAGCTACCCTTCACCCTTCATAGGGACGAGGCGGGACTCTGGGGTCAGCCTCACACTGCATGCACAGCCCTCCCACCGGTGTGGACAGCGCCTGGCTCGCACGGGGAGCTAGAGACAGAGGTCTGCTCGGCGCTAACTGCCTGATGACTACTGGACTACGTTTGCACTGAAATGTATATAAAAATAAAGCCCCACTCCTGAAGTCTACAGGATGTCCAGTATCTGACTGGGGATGTTAAAAGCACTGGGCAAGACCCTGGTTTTCAGGGTGCCATCGGCGCCACAGGAGAAGAGTCGGTTGCCCGGCACCAGCTCGATCTGCATGACGCCGGCCCCGAGGTTCCGGAATATGGACTGCTTGGCGTGCTCGTGCTTAAAGGAGTGGATGAGACCGTGGCCTGTCGACCTCCAGACCTGGGTTAAGACAAAAACAGAACTGCTGCTGAGTCCTCAGAGACCAAGACAAAACCACAGCCCCGCCGTGCTCCTGGGCAGCTACGGTCTCCAGAGCCTGGCTCTCCCACCACTGCCTCTAACCAGGAACCAAAGGAGGAGAACCGATAACAGTGCTGCTGTCCCCCCCCGCCACGCCCACCCTCTGTAAATAGGCAACTCCAGCCCAGGCGTAATCCAGCGTGCTGTGGGAGCAGTGGGGCTGCCTACCAGAAAACCTGGCCTCACCTCTCAAGAGGCAAGTACCAAGGGCAGGTCGGGGAGGGCCTCAGCAGCCAAAGTCACCCCAAAATTTGTGCATCAGACTCTCACACTTGGGGCTGGGGTGCAGCTCCACCCCAGTACCACAGAAACCAGCAGATTTCCGTTTCTTGGTCTTTTGTTTGTTTTGCAGTAGGTGGATCAAAGCTAGGCCATGTGCACACAAGGAAAGTGCTTTGCCACTGAGCGATGACCCCAGCCCTTTTGCTATTTTGAGAGTGGGCTTTGCTAAGTTGCCTAAGTTGTAACTTGAACTTGCAATTGTCCTGCCTCAGCTTCCCAAGTAGCTGGGGAATTACAGGCATGTACCACCGCACACAGCTCAAAACAGGACTTTACAGCTTTTTAGTGGTGTTTCTGCACCAGTGCTGGGACTGTCTGGGCCTTACGCAGGCCGGGCAAGCGGTTCTCACAGGGCTGCCCCCAGCCATCTCAGAAGCTCTATGGGACCCGAGAGTCTGGGAGGAGCCCGCAGAGCGGCGCTCAACTCCTCCACAGAGCTGCCTCGCCCTGTTCCAAGGACAGACAGCGCTGTGGTGGGCACGCACCCACCTTGATGTTCCCCTCCGCAGAGCCGGTGGTGAAGTACTCCTCACAGGGGTCCAGTGCCAGCGCCTTGATGGCGGAGTCGTGGGCCTGGAACATGTGCAGCAGCCGCCGCTGCCTGATGTCGAAGATGCAGACGAAGCCTTTCCTGCCCCCCGAGATGAGCAGCTGCTGGCGGGGCGCATACTCCAGCACAGTGGCCCCGTGGTCGTGGCACGTGAAGCCTGGGGGAAAGATGCCAAGGTTCACGCGGCAGCTTAACGCCAAGCCATGCCGGGAAGTTCAGCCATTACTCAGGCTTTGTGTCATGGAATTTCCGAAATTCTGCGACTAAAACATGAGGGAAATGCTGGGCAATGCTGGAGAAAACCTGTTCACCCCTAATCTCCACTTGCAACTCACAGGAAGTCCCCCTGAGGCTAGAGGAGCACAGAAAGGAAAACGTCCCATACAGGGAGGGCTACCATGTTGGCGGCCTTGAGGCACATCCATGCGTTAAACGCCGCTCCCAAAAGTGCAGCCCAGCAATAGGAGACCCAGGGGCGCGTGCAGCCCGCAGTGTCTGACACTCAGCAGTCGCCTCCCTCTGCCCACCCGGCCCCCACATGGCCACACGGTCCTCAGTGAGCAATCAGCTGGGCCGTGCTGTGCGGATGCCCCCAGCACAGGTCTGGGCAAGTGCAACCCAGGCCCTGCTGGGGCCCTGCGGCTCTCTCGACCCTTCTCTCCGCTGCCGCTCACCCATCCCGAGGCTCCCAACCAGGAAGAGATCTGAGCCGCGAAGCCGAGGCTCAGTGCGGTGACTGAGCTGACACCTTCATTTTCTTTTTTTGCTCAAACTAGGGTATTGCGTGTGCTAACCTGCCCCAGCCCTTGGCATTGGAGTACAATTCAGTGTCAGCTATTACAGAGAAAGAACTGTGCATCCCGATAAACTTAACTACACCTTTCCCGATGCACCTCAACACATCAGGGTCATCCCGTTAGAAGGCCCGACTCCACGCTGTCCAGCCCAACCCATGTAGGCGAGGCCACTAACTGGACAGATGCTGTCCTGAACGAAAGCAATAGTACATCAGGGCTAGTGCGCACTTCGCTTTCTGCTTGGTTTTAACGCTCTGCTACGATTGCATTTCCACTGAGCTCCGTGCCTGCTGTGCCTTGCTCACAGGCGGGCCCCGCCCCGGCCCCTCTGGCATCCCCTTCCCGGTGCCTGCCTCACAACACAGCCGGAGCCTCTGTTCCCACAGGCTGCAGCCACTTGTTCCAGGTGGCGCCCCGCTTCCGCCCTGGGAAGAGGCCTGCTAAGGAGAGCCGAGGGCATCCCTGAGACCGCTGGTGACCCGATCGCAGCTCACCGTGAACGAGGCTGCTCCCGGGTGGTATTAATGTGTCCCACAGGCAAACGTTTCTTTTAAAAAAAAAAAAAAAAGAAAACACATCAAATTCTTGTTTTAAGTCACCAGTACGGGCAAATTTTGTCTTCAAGTCAAATACTTTCACTTACTGATTCTTCTTGTTCTTGTCACATTTACAAGGCAGAGCCCGGGGTTTCTCCCTCCTCCACCTCCTCCGCCCGTCCCGCCATCCGGGGAACCTGCCACCCAAGCCCCTGCCCCAGTACAAGGGCTTCTCCAAGAGCTGCCACGCACAGTGGGGCTGTCAGTGGGGCTGGCCAGAGTCCACAGCCACCTGGCTCTCAAGGACCAACAGTGCTGACAGCAGTGAAAGATTACACATGCTTGTTGAGACACTACAGTAAAAGAAAATGTTGTTCCTCTTTTCAGTAAGGAAAACCACCCTGAGGTAAGAGTTACGTGACAATTTTGTTTATTCCTGGGGTAGAAAAGCCCGACTACATACTATATTTTCTAGCAAAAATAGCCTTCCGCCTACAATTTCCTTGTCCCTTGCTTTGCTTCTCTGTCAGCCTACCTGTTGTCATTGGACTGTCCAGAAGTGGCAACTAGACTTGAGGAGGTGATGAATGCGAAATCACTTGTGGCTTTACTGTGGCACTGCCAGCTCTATGGAAAACAAAGTGCAACAGTGACAGCTGTAGGAGCAGACCCGTGACTGCACCAGCAGTCTGGAAAGAACTGGCTCAAAAAAGTAGAACTAGAGGCTGTAGTTTTTAGATCACGTAAGTGGAGACGCTGAGGCACGTGAACTAGCTGGAGATGGCCCCGCAGTGTGGCCACGCGGGAGACCAAGGTGCGAAGTGCGCCATGATGACCCAGCCCAATTCTATGAAAAGCCCACTCAAACAACATTAGTGTCAACAAACTCAAACACGTGTAACAAACAGTCGCTAAAGAGGAGAGCTCTGACCTCTGCACATGCCTGGGTCAGGTTAAATCTGTGCTCCTGCACGCTGTGCTGTGAAGAATTTACTAACATGGATGCTGTTGGGAGGGGTCCCTCAGGCAGCCCCCAAACGCTCTGAAGGAGGCTCCAAGAGCGTGGGAAGCTCCGCTAACCCGGGCAGGACTTTCTCACTGCATTAGGAAATGAACAGAAATTCCAAGGTGCAGGCCCCAGAGAAGCATGTTAGGATAGGAAAATAGAATGATTATGTTCTTTCTGCCTTGAACAGTCAGGTCCAACTGAAGGTAAAAGCATAAATTCAAGATTACTTCCATTTCTGAGGGGAGGCTATATAGTGTACTAGCTGAAAAGAAAATCTTGTCCTACATGGAATTAAGAACAGGGCTAATCCAGAAAAGCAATTTGTAAGTATCTGGGTGATCTGTGCCCAGAGTGCCCTGCACAGTGTACCACACAGCCACGGCGGGAGGACAGCTGCCTCACCAAGCGCCCTAACACGGCCCGGCTGAGTGAGTCATCTGTCAGGCCTATTTTATAAGCCAATAAGCAAAGCTCTGGAAGAAATTAGATCATGTATCTGAATCTTAATATACACAGCATAAAATTCTCTCACTTAGAAGTTTTCAAAATGGATAAAAGTGTAGTGAAAATATACCCTAAACTGATGACAGAGTGACAGCCCCAAACATTTTTCCAACATGGTACACATCAAGGTAAAAAGCCTGGGTGGGCTGAGCACCTGATGTTTGCTGTGACGCAGGCAGAACTGTCCCAGTCGCAGTAGCCTGGGGTCCCATTCTGGGAGGCCGAGAGACTTACCATGTAAGGTTTGGGGTTGGATGTGGTTTGGTTAACTTGCCAGATACTCAGGAAACCCTCTCCATCTGCAACACCGCACTGTAGGAAGAGGAGAAATAACTAAGCTCAGCTTCCGAATTCCTGCTGCAGACAAAATCACTTGGGGAAAAGAGATTTCACTCAGACCCCACTTAACAAACATCCCGCCAGCACTGTCTCTGGTGCAGACCCCAAGAAAGCCGTGTCCTCCAGGCTCCACACTCTGTCACCTGCAATCTGCCTTCTGTTTTCCTCTGAGACCCGACGGCAGCTCCCCGCATCCACGCTCCCCACCCCCAGCACACTCCACACTCCCAGTGGTGTCCCTGCGAGGACCCCGATCACCTCCCTGGACCTGTGACCACGCTCCCACTGGAGGACAGAAGGACACAGCACAACGCAGCACACTGCCTCTCGGCTTACTCCCGGCTCACTAGTCTTTTAGAAGTGGTTTCACCCGTCATTTACTCCTTACTGTCCACCATCACTTGGGGATGAGTGCGAACCTTATTGCCTTGTGAGTTGAAATACAACCTAGTGACCCTCGCGTTGCCAGCCTGACGGAAACAGACGAGCTGCTGCGGGCGTGTCCACTCGAACATGCGGACGCTGCCATCCTGGGCACCCGTCAGGTCTGAAATAGGAAGATGGCAGTGGGGAGCAGCACAGGGGCCAGGGTTCCGGAAGCTCCTATAACCCAGCTCAGGAGGACAGGAGGGAAGACCACGAATGGACACTCACAGTACTGGTGCACAGGGTGTGATGTCATCCTCTTCACATTATGCAGATTCCTCTTCATAAGCTGTAGGAGACAGAATGAATTGATCTGGGGTCATTCTGGTACCATTCATTCTGACAGCCCGTTAGGGAGACGAACTCTGGGACAGTCTCACCCCCACCTGCAGTATAGGCAGCCATTTCACCTAGCGATGGAGGGGGAGCGCTCTTCGGGGGCCCTCTCTGAGCCAGTGAGCAGGGAGCCCTTCAACTCTGGGGTTCCCCAAGCACTCAGACACTCCTTGCTGACCCGTGCCACCTCACACTCAGGGTTGTCACCCAACCCGCACCCTGCCACACGCAGCCACAGGCCCTGCTCGGACCTCGCGCCCCCTCTCCGGATCCCACACCCAGGAGAGAGGAGTGAGGAACGCACCACGCTGGCGCCCGTGCTGGTCTGCCCGCTGCCCAGCCAGGGCATGGATGCAGGCGGGTGCGCCTGGCTCGTGGGGTGGGCTGCCGTGCCAGGCTGGTACAGGGTGGTGGTGGAGCCTCGGTAATCAACGTCGTCCGAACTGTGGGAGTAGCGCGAGACAATCATTTGCTCCGGCATTCACCAGGAGGAAGCCTCGGACACCACTCCAGTACCGGTTACCCTTTCCTGTTAAGTCTGGGGCAACTTTGTTCAAGTAGAACAGCGATAATCTTTGCTGTAAAGTATTTTAACACAGATCTGGTAATATATACAAAAAGAATAAAGGTTCTGCTCCAATACAGACATTTCCTGGAGCACGTGCAATTTTTTTTTTAGTGCTGGGTTTGTACCCAGGCCTTGCCCATGCTGGGCAATGCTCTACCATTGCACTACATACCCAGCCCCAAATTATTGGTTTTAAAGAGATTCAACCTCAGACTTTTTAGAGAACGGAGTTTCTATTACATGGTCACACCTACTCTGAAGTACACCCGAGGACTGGCCATGTGACAAGATCGTAAAAGGCAACAGCCGTACTGGCACTGGCCCTGGGCACACCAACTTCTAAGTCTGCAGAAAAGCAAGAGGAGGAAGGCAGGAGGAGAAACCTCGGAGTGCTCCCGTGTACCCCACTTTAAGGAGAACTAAATCGCCTACATATTTTTGTCTGTAAAGGTGAAACAAGGTAACTGGGTGGCGGTGTCTTGCTTTGGCCGAGTACTGTGTGATCCTGCCATGTCCTCAGTTAGTACCACAGCAGCAGCTGTAAGCATGAACCTTGATGTCAGACTACTCTGATGCAAGTCTATGAACTATTTAATGGAAGCAGGAGTAATTCATTACCGTGGGCAACGACTTTTCTTGGCAGCAAGTATTAATCTTTTACTCAAGTAAAGCTGCACAACTGTGTCCCCGCTGTGACTCAGTGGGTACCTAAGGAAAACTCCCTTTCCAAGCTGCTGAGACTCACCTTTTGGATTCTCTGTCGTACTCCTCTCCGATCCATATGTACGGCTGACAGGCCAGCAGAGAAGCCACATCAAGTTCCTGAACATCATGCGTCGAAGCCAAAACAATTTCATTGCAGTTTGCCTGCAAAGCGAAGGCAGAGCCAGTGGTTAAGCCATTTTGCAATAGCCAGTCCCCTTGCCTAGTGACTATGGCTTTTACCTTGTTAACAGAAAACGCCATGATCATGTCAGACTCCTTATGAATGACCCTGGCCTTGCCTCCGGGGTAGCCCAAATCAGCTTCAACCTACAAAATACAGCCGAGTGTGAGCTACTGCCGCACAGTGCTGCACAGAAATATGCTCGTCCCACAGAATTCAAAAGCTGGACAAGAAGATTCAGAAGCAAAGAAAAAAGTAAAAGTAAGTTTAGTGTGTTGCGAATTAGTTTCAGAAAATTTGCTTATATATTCTGAAGCCCTATACTCACTCCAGTGACAAAGATTTCCATCAAGGGTGTAAGACAAGGCGAACTGTCACAAAGATGGCTCAGACGTCGGCATCAGCGATTTGTCGCAGTAACACATCTCTGTGCAATTCCTAAAGTGCACGGGTGTTACGTAACACGTGTGCGTTAAGAGGCGCGGAGTGGAGGAAAAGTCAGAGAGAGAAAGGGGCGATTTAAAGGCTGACGGAATGGAATGAGGGGAAGCTGGAAGGAAGAGCCTCAGGGTGGAAGGGAAGGCGGAAAGCACCAAACAGCAGAGAAGGGGAGGCAGTGCTGAAGGCAGAGTGCAGCGGGCCAGGCCAGAAGCTCCTCCCGGTGGGCGGCAGCCGGTTAGTGCGGTTAGTGGTAGGGAGCCTGAGGACGAGCGGCCGGAGGCAGTACTACCTTGGTGTGGCCATCCTGTGCCATGCAGTGGGGTCTGCCCTGCTCCACAGGTTCTTCTACAGACTAACACCACACCGCCACAACCACAAACACATGCATGAAATGAAATGACAGAAAGTGAAACACTTCAAGCTGTAAGTCACTAACCACTTAAAAGATGACAAAAATGAACTTGAAAAATCAAGAAAAAGCAAAATATCATCAGATAAACACAAAGCAAAAGGAGCAAATTAATGTGACTATTACACATATGCAAAAACAGAAAGCCACTTCAAAATGAGAATTAGCTGTATGTATGCTAAAATTCTTAAAAGTACAACCCCTAGAAATGAAACGCACCTTTAAGAGCAGATGCATTCTACATTTCATAGAGTCCTATCCTATCGAGGTTGATTTAAAATACAAATAAAAACTCATTTCTAAATAGGTAGCAATCACCTGGGTAGGGGGGCCAAGGTCTTAACCCACCCAGCCTTTCCAGGAAACATCGGACTCCCACCCTACTGAAAGTCCTTGTTCACTTGCTACATCACTTCCTCCCCCTTTTGGCCCCCATTTAATCAATATTTCCTGGGTGACTGTACTGTAATTTTAATGGTTGGTCATGGTTTTGCCCCACCTCATGCCCACCTTGTAATTTTCCATTGTCCCACTTTGTACCCGCCTCACCACATGGCTTGGCTGTGCCAAACAGGTTTGAAAAGTGGGGTGGGAAGGCAGCCCACTTTCCAGTCCCCCTCTATCTCTCTTAGAAGTTTTCTCTCAATATATTTTTCCTACTCTTAAAAAAAAAAAAAAAAAAAAACATTTCCAAACACAAGTCAAAGTGCTGGCAATTCTTTCACTCTCCCTGGTACTCTGATTACTCACAGGTGCTCTTATCACTGGAGCATTCTCCACATGAGGAGAAGCCCGACAAGAGGACACACAGCTAACCTGCCCCTGGCTGGTGACAGGCGCAGGGACAGCTGGGCAGACACAGGTCGCTCTGTCACAGGCCCCAGACGACAGGTGCAGAGCCCGCTCTCCTCACAGGGAAAGGGCTGCCACCAGGCCCACACCCTAAGGGCTCCCGGTGGGCACAGCTGACCAGGACAGGCCTGAGTTCGGGACAGGGTTGGGACCCTACCTGGGCAATAGCCAAGTGCTCCAGAACCTGCTTGCCTTATATGACAGAGTTTGCCTCATTTATCAATTTCATGAAACTTTGGTGGAATATTTTTCACACTCAATGAGCAAAAACATGAACATTTTTTAAAATGAGCTAACGGGCCAGTTTTTAGGGTTTGCCAATTTTACTAATCAACTGTATAAATTTACTAAATTTATCATCAAAATTCTACCTGACAACAAAGAAAAGCACATTCATAGAAAGTTTTATTAAACGTGCTTAAGTTTCAAGTTTTCCCTAATGTCTTCTTAATGAAAGCTTTTTAGCAGACATGCAGTGCTCAACACTGCAGGTACTTCCTTTCCCTGCCCACGCTTACACAGTCTTGAAGAAACATCTCATTCATCTCTGTCCTGCTCCCCTGTTCTCGAGGACCCTCTGTGGGAAGGAAAGTTGCTCTTTTGACATCACAGAGCACGGGGCACAAAGAAGAGCAGAGAAGGAGCAGGCCGGGCCCTGGCCAGGGAGACACCAGGCAGCTAGGTGAAGCCACATCGGGCCAGTCAAACCCAGAGACTCCAAGCCTTATCAATAGCTATAACATATTTTTGGCAAACCATTAGTTTAATAATTTGGAGAACGAAACACTCAAAAAACTGATCTTTGATGAACTGGCTTACTGTGAATCACTACTCCTAAGAAGCAAGTATCTTTTACTTTAACTCCATTTATATATCATTTTATGAATATTCAGCATCACCCAAGGAAATGCTTTATCCAGTGGCTAAAGAGAAGCAGTACAGGGTCTGTGATTTCCCCTAACAATTCCTGTACTAGTAATTCCAAACCATCGGGATCTTTTGTTTTTATCAACGTTTTGAACACACACAGGACTCGGAAAGACTGTAGCTCCTTCCTCTACCTTCGCATTTAGAGCCTGCCTCACAAATCCACAGGAAAGCACATCCCTGTTGCCAAGGGCTGACCACAAGGACCCTGCCGGAAGTGGTGCCAGTGGAGAAGAGGGTGTGGGAAGCAGCGCTGCACCAAGCAGTGGGACCCTGGCCCCTCTCTGTGAAGCAGAGCTCACTCCTCTCTTCTGCGGGACTGCATCTGGCCGGGGCCGCAAGCACCACCCACCTCCCGTCACGTCAGCCAGGGGCCAGGAGACTCGGACGCCCATGGAGAAGGGCCGCTGCTGCCGTTCTGGCTCTTCCTGAGTCACATGTAGATTAAACTACCGTTCTCCGGCTCTAAAGCCACTGCACCGAACTTCTGCCTAGCTCTGGAGAAATAACTCATACTCCCTATTTCTGTAGCATGTTCTCTCACAAAATTATACTGAATTTACTGCTTCTAAATCTGTTCATTTTAAAATGCTAGTAAAATAAGACTAAACGCTTTTAAAGGGCCATGCTATGTTTTCAATTAAAAATGTTTATATGTGATTTATTAAGGGACCTATATTTTTTTATTGCTATAGAAATTATAGTATTTGGTCTTAAATTTACTACAGTTGAGTACATTGTGGCTACTAGCCATGAAAGATCATTAAAATAAGTTATAACCAAAAAGAAACTTCAGAGTAAATCAAGTACTGACTTAATTAGAATGCTAAAGAAAAATGTGAAGTATTTTTGTCAAAGTACCTCACTCTGTTTTCTCTTCTTAGTGAAGATGTATCTGATGAATGTCTCTTGGAGGACTTCCTGTTTAACAAGGAAATGCCACAGCCGTTTGACTGGGAGTGCAGAAGAATCCCGGGACCTGCTCAAAACAAGACAAACCATTCTAGTCCACAGGAAACATGCTTCATGCTTACAGACACTTGCTTTAAACCATGCACCATTTATTGCAAAGATAACAGCATTGAGTTCAACAAAATTTTAAGAATTATTTCACCATTTTTAGTTCTCTTAAAAAATCACTCCTTCACCCAGTAATTCTCTACTACAATGAATGCACTGGTTGTATTAAGTATCAAATAAATCTCTTCCTATTCTTTTTTTTCATTTGTTTGTTTTGTTGTTTGAGACTGACCTGGAACTTACTCTGTAGCCCAGGCTGGTCTCGAACTCTATTCTTTTTTAAAATGATCCTTTAGCATGGTCCTGTTGGTCCAAGCCCATCAGTAAACAGAGTTACAGATGCTTTCTTAACAGCGTAGAACTCAAAGCCTTGCTTTCTAGCTTGTGAGCAATAGCGCTGCTCGTGCCTGGCTGCTTCAAAACACGTGTTGCTCCCTGCTTGGTATGACCTGTGTCTAAACGGCCCCCAAAGCCTCACGCAGTCACAGACAGGGCTTTTCCGAAGTTGCTGGGATTAAGGATATGAAGCTAGGGGTAGGGGTGTAAGAGCTACCTGCCCTAAGGGCATGCAGCCTGAGTAAGATGTAAGGGACAGAGAGAGATGCTTGCTGGTAGCTTGGTGCCTCCTGCCTGCCGTGGACTGTTTCTCCTCTGTGATGCCCTCTGCCATGCCACCTGGCCTTGGAGCCAGATGACTATGGACTGAAACCTGTATAAAGCATGAGCAAAACCTTTCCCACCTTAACTTTTGGGTGTTTATTTTGTCTCAGCAACAAGAAAAGTAACTAAGACACTGTATAACCTGGCTCAGGTATTATACAGTGTACACACATACTGAAACATCATACTAGCTCATGGAGATGCACAATTTTTACATTTTTAAGTGTTAAAAATAATTTTTTAAAACATGCTTCTTATCCAAAGGGATCAAGATGGGCAAGTGGAAAATCAAAACAACCCTAAGAATCCTTAATGTGTCTATTTGTATTAAGTTACAAAGAGAGAATCAGGGCACTTTATTTGCATATGTAGATTAACCAAAAAATTTTCTCTTAGGAGTTCTTAAAATACAGAAATACAGATAAGAAAGTCTTAAAAGACAGAAAGAAAAAGAAAAAAGGTCTTTTCCTGATTATAAAAGTAATGTGCCTACTGAATTACAGGTAATTCTGGGATATATAATTTTTACCTAGATCTCTGTTTTGCTTAGAAAGTACTGCTAAAAATGGAATGCAAGCCAAGTATGGTCGCACACACCTGTAATCCCAGCACTCAGGAGGCTGAGGCAGGAGGATCACTGTGAGATTCTGTCTCAAAAAAACAAAACGAAAAAAAAAGGATTGCAGCTTCAAAGGTACTTTGAAGGCTGCTGGCATATTTTGCCAAAGGCTTCCAGAAAATTAAACTAAGCTCTACACTCATCAGCATTCGAAGAGCTTTCTTACTTGAATGGCGTGTTCTCAGGTTCCAGCATGGCTTTATTTCGAAGGAGGGCGGGTCCAGCTCCTCCAGAAAGGTCAGCGGGGTATGTGTTGATATAGTTGGGGGGTGGGCCTTCAAACTGATCCATTTTGTCTTGCAGAATCTGTTCCCAGTTCTCCAAATTTTTAATCACGGCAATACCTAACGGTGATGTGACAGGCAACTCTAAAAGGTAACCGAACATGTCATTTTGACAATACTGAACTACGTATTTACAAAATCTGAACTTTTTAGAGCCAAGACTTTTGAAAATACAAGTGTCTCTGAAAATGTTAATCTAACATGACTTGGATTCTTAATGCTCCCAACAGAACAGGAGGCCACTCTAACATGAGCTGAGGGACGTGGCGTGTATCCGGTCTGGGCTCCCTCTCCTCCATTTCTACAGAGATCCTGGTGCCACTATGCACAAAACCCAGGCTGGAGTCTACAGTGAGACTTCATAAACACTCACTGTAGTACTTCTAAGTACCAAGTGGTCTTTTATAGAGTTTGTGAAAACAGAAACTTGATGGTAAGTGATTAAATTTCAAATTCCAAACTCACCAGAGAACTCCAGTCCAGCAATGGGGAAGAAATTCTTGACATTATGAAGCACTAGCTTCACCATTGTCAGATGCAGAAGAGCCCAGCTGTTCACAGGAGCCAAAGAAAATCCAAAAAACAAACAAACAAAAAAAACGCCCTCGTTAATTGAAATCTGAAGCTGTGCAAGTGGCACCGTGAGGCCCCGGCAGCTGCTTAGCTGTGGCAAGGCCTACAGGGCTCCACTGCCCCCCTGCACCCCTCCACGGACTGCCGCCGCTGCCGCTGCCCACCACAGCCTGAGCATTCCTCCTCCACAGGCCCTGTGCCTTGGAGTCAGCAGACTGTGGACTGAAGCCTGTACGAAGTGACCCAGAGAGAGCCCTTCCTCTTTAACTTGTGGGTGAGGGCTATTTTGTCCCAGCAGCAGGAAAGTGACTACACAGCAACCGCACAGTCTCTGAAAGGTGAAAGCTGTGCAACAACATAGCACACTTACACTACTCTATCCACAAAAGCATCTTCACAGTCAGATGGAGTCTAAAAACATGAATAAATTACCAGGTTTCTCACTAAAAATATTAATGTTTCTATCTAATCTGTATGAAAGCTGTTCTTTGAAACTGGATGTGAAGGAAATACTTTACTTTTTGGAAATTTAACCTCAATGGTGTAGAATTCCTAACCTGAAAATAATGTGTTTTATACAAATTCATGATGAAAATGTTAGCTAAAGCTAGTTAACACCAGGATGTCTTGCAAAAATAAATAAATACATTCTTTGATTTACCTATAGGAATTTGGGTCTTGGTGCTCCTGTATCTGTGTGTCTGAGAAGAAGGCATCGTCGTCTTCGTCGTCACTGTGAGCGCTCTCGTCAGAGTCGTAGATGGCCCCACTGTCAGACAAGGGCAGGAAGGGCTGCAATAAGAGGCAAAGGCAGCTTAGAATAAAAACTTCATAAACATGTAAAATGCATTTTATGTGCAATTAAATATATTATCTTTCTTTTAAATTATTTTAAATTTCCTTAAAATATATATTCTTAAAACTACTTTAAAGTGTTTTAAAATGCACTTTTACTCAAGTTAGAATGAAGCATGTTGAATGGCATCACTAACAATTCTCTGCAGATGTTACCAGACTCGCAACCACCAAGATAACCAGGTAAACTCTGTTCAACCAAATAATTTAGTGGACACAACAACTACCTTTTTAAAATCAAGTTTTCTTATGTATCAGTAATAAAACATTAAAAGTCTAAAGAAAAGAATACATTGAAAAATATAATCCACCAAAAGAAAAACTATGAAAACTGTGACAGAGGTATTGAGCTACACAGCTATACTGAGGACTAAACTATGTAAAAAATCTTAATTCTATGGGCTTGGGATTTAGCTCAGTGGCCTGCCTCGCAAGCACAAGGTCCTGTGTTCAATCGCTAGTACCAAAAAAAACCCAAAACAAAACAACAACAACAACAAAGCCTTAATTCTTCACAAACTAATTATAGAGGTTGTAAGTAACTGAAATACAAATCCATAGGAGGATTTCTTTTTTGAAATTTAATGTCTGTAAGTTCACAGGGAAAAAACAAGAGTAACTGAGAAACCTATCGATATGAAGCATACCATTTGTTAGTGAATATTATCATGATAGTCAGAGAAATGAATCTAGATTTTGATGGGCAGATTCTGCCCACAACAGGCTAAGTACACGAAATGTGACAAGATGATGACAAATAGTGGAGGGAGGGGAGGAAGGGCTATTTCCCGAGTGTCGCCAGAACTGCTCAGCTACACGTGAAGGAGAGAAGACAGGGAAATCCAATCTCACCCTCCTTATTCTAGATAAATAAGAGAATTGAATTAAGCAAGAAAAAGCAGAGCAAGAGGAAAATAAAAGCCAGCATATTCGTTAGTGAAAAAGACTTTTTCTGCTTATAAATCAAAAGTATGATAGATATGATTAAGTAATTTTTAAATTTTGGAATCTAAAATAAAATTTAAAACAGAGGCCGGGCATTTAGCTCAGTGGTGCTGCCGCCTGCCTCGCAATGCAAGGTCCAGAGTTTTATCCCCAGTACCAAAAATTTTTTTAAAAATTTAAAAATAAACTGTAATAAGCATCACAAGCAAGATAAACTAATATTGTTAATGAAGAATCCATGGGAAAATACTACGATCCCAATAGATAATTCAGCTAAGAATATGAAGTCGATCTAGAAAAACAAATGGAAATGAGCTCATTAAAACCTGAATGTAACTAGGTGGGTATCATGGTGTATTCGTGTAACCCCAGCGCTCTGGGAGGCCGAAGCAGGAAGATCACAAATTCAAGTCCAGTCTGGACAACTCAGAAACTTAGCAAGACCTTTTCTCAGAACTTAAAGAAAGGGGCTGTGGCTGTAGCTCTGAATGAGGATCCCGAGTTCAATTCCAGAATTGCAAAGTCAGTAAGTTGATAAACAAACAAATGTTTTTAAAGTAGCAGGAAGTAAAAACTATTTAATACGTATGTCGCATTAACAGACATGAAGAAAGGATCTTTGGCGCTAGTGAGGGAAAGGCAGATGCGCCCGCTCACAAGTACACAAGGAAGCAGCCCCACCAGTCCTGAGCCTTGTTTAGACCTGACCCGGTGCTGAACTTCCTAGTGAAATCATCAGAATACAAAGTCGCTCTTTAAAAATATTAATCTCATTTCATAAATTAATTTCATTCTCATAAAAATGAAACACCAGATCCCTGACAGGGACTGGCTAAGTGGACTCTGCCAACCACTGAGAACAGCGCTCAAGGACCGGGGACCACGCCAGCGAGCAGCAGCCCCCTCGCCCCGACTGCCCCCCAGCATTTGCCACACGAAGCCTCCGGGTTCTCAGGAGAAGCAGCCACTGGTGGCTCCACCCCAGGAGCGAGCCCGGGCCCCCTGGGGGGACTGTCGGCGCGAGTGGTGACTGCCGTGGACTAGAGCGCAACAGGAGCAAAGAACAGGCCACGGGCCCCCTGGAGGGTGGCAGGCAGCTCAGCGTGGAAACGAGAGCGAAGGACAGTGCACTCAGAGTCGCCTCTCCCCCTCTCCCATCCACACGTGCTGGAGCGGGGCAGGAGTGAACCCGGGGCGGACAGCAACCCGAGGTGGCACACAGGTGACTGGGCCGCCAGACAGCACTTCCTGGGCCACAGCCACCAACTTCACAGCACCTCCCAGAAGCTCCGGGCCTGGAGGCGTTCAGAGCAACAAAGACAGATGCACCACCGTCCACTGAGAAATTCTATGGGGCACTTTCTCTCGGGGCAAAAATAAAAGAGAAAGGAAATTTATGAAAGAAAAAGATGATGATGATGGAAAAGATCAAGACAGACTTAAGTCACAATAGCCAATCTAAGCATCTTATTTTGGATCCCGATTGGACAAACCAAGAGCACAAAACCATGTAAGACATGCAACTGTCTGGATACTGATACAGTGGAAGTGCACGTGTGTATGAGAGAGAAAACTGGTGAGATTCTGCTCAGAGTCCTTTTTAAACAAATACTAAAACAAGGTGTGGTGGTACACGCCTGTAATCCCATCATGGAAGGCTGAGGCAGGAGCATCACAAGTTCAAACCCAGGCTGAGCAACTGTCTCAAAATAGCAATACCCTGTCTCAAACTAACTAAGAGGGGCTGAGGATATAGCTCAATTCCCAGTAACGAATACCACACACACACCCTGAACTAGTCCTGAATGAAACCTCATGCTGCCCTCTGCTGCCACCTGGTGTGAGCAGAAGCACAGAAACAGGACTCCCACGGGCAGCGACTTCTGAAACTGGGTTAACGGTCAGGTCAGATGCTGCCACTTTAGTTCTGTACTCCATAATGTTTGAGGTTTTCCATAAAACAGGGATTTGGAAATTTTTTGGTGGTGGAACTAGGGATTGAACCCAGGGCCTTCACACTAAACTACATCACCACCCCTTTCTAATTTTTCAATTTTTTGAGGCAGGGTTTCACTAAGTTCCCTGGACTGGGCTTGAATTGCAATCCTCCTGCCTCAGCCTCCGAAACACTGAAATTGTAGGCACGCACCCAGCTTATAGGTTTTTTTCAGTGATAGCTACACAGGTATGTGTTTGGGTACTGATGACTGAGCCCATGGCCTGTGCACTGGCTACATGCCGACCTTTTTTATTTTCAACAGAGTTTCCCTAATTTGCCCAGCTGGTCCCCAACTTGTGATCCTCCTGCATCATCCTCCCAGAGTGCTAGGACTATAGGTTCCAACCACAACCTCTGGCCAGGTTTTAAGCAGTATGTGAGATTTCTTACTTTGTAGTATTAACTGAAAAAAAGCAAACATAAAACTATATATATTGACCCAATTAGTAATCTTTTTAAATCTGAGGAAAAAAAGACTAAAAGCAAATTTGCCAACATGTTAATAATTATCTCTGGATAGATTTGCCTTCTTCATACTTTTTTTTTGGCATTTTCCAAACTTTTATTAATCAAGAGGAAATGTTTTTGGGAAATGAAAAATAAATTGGTGTGTCACCACCTACCAATCCTTTTTTCCCAAAATCTGGGGGGTGAGCACAGAGCCTTCACAATGACCTACATCCTAGCCCATTTTTACTTTGAGACAGGGTCTCTCTAAGTTGCCCCACCTGGGCTCGAACTTGTGATCCTCCTGCCTCAGCCTCTCAGTTCCCATTCCGCATATGCGCCCTACCCTGACACCATTTACAAATCTTACCGTTGTTATTGTTCACACTAAAGATGAAAAGGTTTTCAGAATGGCAGAGGCAGAAGGTCCGCTAGGATGTTCGGGGACCAGTGCGCTGTCAGGCAGCTCTGTCACTGTGAGCCGGTTCTGTGCTGCGACAGTGACTTCCCATCTGTGCACCTGATTTTACGAAGCCTCATCTGCCGTCAGCGCCTTGGCGCCTGTCTCAGCCCGCGCGTGCCAGGACTATACAGTCAGACCCCGTGTCTCAGCTGCAGTGGTTCCGCCCCAAGCTGCCAGCGCCCTCTGCAGCAACTGGCCCTCCACCGCTTACCTTGGCGACAAAGTAATCCCACATGCTGAGCTCGGGCGGGATGAACTTCTCCCTGTAGGACGGCCTTTCTGCAGGCACAGGAGGCGGGGTGGTGTCCTTCACCGGCCTCCCGGGCACCAGCATGCGCATGTTGAACCTCCTGCGGTGCTTATCCGCGTCTTCAGAAGGCAGGGGTGGTGCTGCAGGAAGGGGTTGTGAATCAGCGCTACTCAGACATGACATTTCTCTCATCCTTCCCTCGCTGCGTTTTAGTCCAAACTCCTCCCACCTGTGCTTCTGAACCACTTACAGCACCTGTTCCCAGTGGTCACCGCAAAGACACAAGTGTGATGGGCCGGGGATTTAGCTCGGTGGTTCTGGCGCCTGCCTCACAAGTGCAAGGACTCAACTTCAATCCCCAGTACCCCCAAAAATAAATAAATAAATAAAAATCTTTAAAAAGACACAGGTGTGCGTCCAGCCTATCTGTATGAACACAACTCTACACCAATGCAGGGAACATCCCGGAAGTGTCAGACTCGCAGGGCTCGCCAGGCTACGTGGTCCAAGAAAGGGCCGGTGGACTGCAGGGCACCGCTGTTTATTCCAAGAACAGCAGAAGCACAATGGGAAGCGAGGAGCGAGCAGCACACAGCCAATGGGAGGGCGGGTGTGTGAGGAGCCACGTCTCGGCGTGGCCCAGGCGTGGGGCGACAGCACCCAGACGGCTCTCTCTTCCCCTGGCCCCGCTCTGCTTTCCTCACAGTTCTCATCGTGTCTGAAACACACCACGTCTGCGAACTGCTTCCTGTGTGTCCTCCCCGGTGGACACAGCTTCCCAAGGGAGAGGCGCTCCCCACCTGGCTTCCCTCACTCCCCACCTGCACAGCCTGCGTCCCGTGGGTGTGGGGTGAATGAGAGAAACCACACAGGATCGCAGCTCGGAGGCTTAGAGCACAGCAACTGACCGGTGGGCAGAATCACCACCACCAACACCCCACAGCACCCAGGCAGAGAAAGATGCGATTTGCCAGGAAACAGCAACTGAGGTGGGCAGAATCACCACCACCAACACCCCACAGCACCCAGGCAGAGAAAGATGCGATTTGCCAGGAAGAGTAGTTAGGGGAGCAGAGCACACAGGGGCCCTGCTTGTTCAATGTGACTCTGGGCCGCAGCAAGGTCACAGGCTAGAACCTGCATCACCCAAACTCCTGTGGGGAAGTTAAGATGCTTTCAGTTTCAGCACCAAGGCGAAAAGCTGTCCAGCAGGGAAGGAAACACGCGCAGGTGCACACTGTAATACAGAAAACCATGTCCAAGAATGGAACAGCCACCCTATAAATAAAGCTTAACCTGAGGCCAACTGCTGGGGAGACTGGATCTACTCAAATCTCCTTTCTCTAAGAACTTCCCTTTTCCATGCCCTCATCCCTTAGCCATGTCTCCTCACCTTTCTGCTCTTTCTTACCCTCTCCAGACATGTCCTGCTAAAATACATTACTTCTAACATTATGGTTATTCTAAGTGGGTTTAGTAATTTCCTACCGGAAAAAGAATGATCAAGTATACCTTCATCACCTCTAATTCACAGGAAAATTCCTCAAACATTAAAACTGTCTGAAGAGTGGGAGTGATTAGCATTATAGGCAGCACTGGTGTCACACCGGTCTCACCTGAGATATTTTCCGACTGTCTTCGAGGCTTCACAACAAGCTTGGCGCCCCCGCCAAAGACAGCAGCCCACATCCGGTGATTGAGCGGGTGGGCTGCGAGCCGGAACAGCTCGCTGGAGGAGTTGGTAGCAAGCGCGTGGGTCAGCAAGCTCAGGTAAACAGCGACGACGGCTTCGCACAGCAGCACATTCAGCTTCGGCTGGTCCTCGTCTTGGGCTGAACTCAGCAGGTTGATGAGGGAGCTCACGCCTGCGAGGGGGGCACTGTAAGGGGCTGCTCACCTTCCCAGAACACCAGAGGGAGCAACAATCCAAAAGGCAATGCGACCAGCTGCACGTGTCTCTATTCTTCAAAGCAAGTATTTCCACAATTTGAGCAACAAAAGAGTGGCAGAATGAATTACAATCTATAGTGAGTACTGATGTAATAAATACGTGAATTAATAGGGAAGAGGGGAAAGTTTTACTGCACAATTTCAATAAAAGGATAGAAAATCATGTGGTCACCCAACAGTGATATCTGACTTGGACAGGAATCATCACTGGGTGCACAAATTTGACATTTCACAGAGTCTCCGATGATCTCTTCAGAGACACCAATCCACTATAAAGGCAAACACGGGAACTTTATAAGGAGACCCTGACAGAAACCACAGCACAAGAGAAGGGGACAGTGGCACCGCATGTCTGCCCATGCTGCACACTGAGTAGGGCGCATCTTTTTGTGGCTTCTCAGGCAAAATACAAAACCTGAATCTAGCAGTAAATGTAAAATCAGAAAAGCTGAGAGATATCCTTAAAAAAAGCAAAACTTTCTGGTATTCTTTGGAAGTGTACTAGTCGTGAAAGGCAAAGAAAAGGAAACTTGCCATCCAGGGAGGCTGAGGTCCTAGAGCTAAATATCACATGAAGCAGAAAGGGGCCACTAGAGGGACAACTGGACAAAGACAAGGCCAGGAGACAGGACCTACCAAGGCCAGGACAGGAGATTCGGTGCTTATGCTGTGGTTGGGTAAGAGAATGTCTGTTTTCAGGAAAAACACACCAAAATATCTGTCTGCAATTTAATCACATTTGGGGAATCTGTATAAAAGTTACCCAAAAATGTCACTATTTCTTCAACATTTTTGTAAGTCTGAAATAATTTCAAAATGAGGAGTTATATCAGTATGTTTACAGAAATCTATGCTTAAAATAAAATGTACAGGGTACCAAAAAGAGCAAAGAAGGTCTGAAATAACTCATGTAGAGAACGAGGGAGGGCTAAGCAGAGAAAGGCAGACAGTCCTGCCTACCCCACTGTGTAAGTTTATATTCTGAAGGTGACAGCATTTCCTCTGCTCTATCGGGAAACTATCTGTGATATTGCTATGGCCGCAGTCCAGATTTCTAAGGATAAAGGAGATGATGTGTTCACCCCCATTACGAATGTCAAGCTCAGCTGGGCATGGTGTCATAGGCCTACAATCCCAGCACTCAAGAGGCTGAGGGAGGATTTCCGTGAGTTCAAGTCCAGCCTGAACTACACAGTGAGTTCAAGGGCAGCCTGACTACAGAGCAAGACCCTGTCTCAAAAAACTAAAAAGCAAAGCAAACAAATATGTAAAAAGGGGACAGTCATATAGCTCAGTAGTAAAGTCATCCTGGGTTTAATCCCCAGCAGTATTCCCTCCACACCTAACAAAATCATGTCGGGGGTGGGGGTGAGGGTCACTAAACAGAAGACTGAGGGTTGGAAAGAAAACCAGGACGGCAAATCTCACCAGGCCACTGAGCAGGAGACGAGTTTGGTGTCGCATGCTCTTCAATGCTCTCTGTCCTCAGTCTCCGGCGGTCACTCAGGAGCAGCCCCTGATAAGCCATGCCTGTGAACTGGTTCCCCTCTGGCTGGCTGTAAGTCAGACAGGCTCGGTTACTAAGCATCCTGCAAGAGGCCAGAAGCAGCTGTCCTCTCCCCCTCGACTTTACATGCTTACTCAGATAGCCCGGAAGTCCTCACTACTGAATCTAATTGTCTAATGAGGATTTATTTTTAAAAGTTCTTGAAGTTAGTTACAAATGTTTATTGACAGTTGTTATAAAATATCAAATTTTACTATGTTGGGCAGATAAGTAATTTAAACCATTTTCCAGAAGCTACCTAATATCTTAAAATCTTTTCTATTTGTACTTTTTCAAAATCTTAGCTAAGGAGACTACTGTGGGTTTAGGATACAGTAGGCAGAAAGTTTGAGGGCACTAGTTTGTTGCATTTCTTAGGTCTGCAAAGTCGTGTGAGCTTAACCCTGAGCTAAAATCTACAGAATAATATTTTGGAAATATCTAAACCCAAAGCCAAACATCCCTAAATATTTACTTCCCTAACCAAAGTGACAATCTATAGAACTGGAGAAAATACAAAAGCAGACAGTAAAGCTGAGCTTTACTGCAAATGAACCAGCCAAATGGTTGCAAAGCACAGATCTGAAATCGAGGTGTCTGAATTCCCATTCGGCACCTTAACTCTAACCAGTGATTAACATCAAACAGGTTCTTTGTGATCATTCTAAGTGACCATGACAACCAAATCAACTTTTTTCCCCTTATTTATATTTCCAAATCTTTGGGGTTGTTTACACCTGGCCTAATTAGGGTAAAAAATGAGAGGATGGGCCCTTTTGAAAGAGCAAGTCCTTATTCAAAATCAAATGCACCCACAAAGGGATGCTAAATTCATAGAAAAAAATCTAGATTGTTTTAATATAAATATCACATTAATATGTATCAATTAATTTTTTCATTTATTAATAAACTTCATTTAAATCTGGGTCATCTTTCCAAGTAAATAGCTTACAACTTATATTCCCCACTCATTCAAATGCAAAGCTGCAATGATGAAGACAATCTGACATGTAGAAATATCTAAACCATTACTTTTAACTGATATCACTTCCAAAGACTTTTACACATAAATGGGCAAGTAAAATTTATTTTAATAATTTAATTTTAGGAATGTACTTTTTCATCTGTTCAAAGTTTTTGTTTTAACTGAAGGCCAGTTAAACAAAGAGAGTTTATCTAATGAAAAAAGAAATTATTCCTAAGGAGAAAAATTAAAACATTTCTTGGTATAAATTGTTTTGGATAGCAAACTTTTCTGACAGTAAATCAAAAAAAATATGGTAATAGAATTTATTATTTGTCATTTTCTCTTTTTATGTTTTTTGAGACAGGGTCTCACTGTGTGGCCCAGGCTGGCCTTGAACTCACAGCAGTCCTCCTGCCTCAGCCTCCCAAGTGCTGGGATTATAGGCGTGCACCACCATACCCAGCAATTATTTGTTATTTTCTACATTTTTCCATTGTTACTTGGTGACAAGTAAACTAGACAGTTATTATAATTATTTTTTTTGTAGATCTAGCTAAACTATTAAAGTATACACATCAGTCATTTTGGGGGGGGTTCAGTCTGTAGGAGCTAACATCCTAGTAAAGCTCTGAACAGCCTGCTGTTTTCATTATATTAATACTTTGTACTATTTGGCAGTTTTTGTTGGTTGTTTTTTTTTTTTACCTGTAGCTATGACTGTCACATAAAGCTTGGTAAATTGATGCAGAAAGTGATGCTGCTAGTGAATGAAGTGTGTGCACCTAAAACCAAAACAGTCACAATTACATTTTATACTAACATTTCTATACATGATGTCTTAAAAATCAGAAAGTACTCAGGAAACCAGCCCATCACGAATAAGACTGGGCCCCACATAAGACTACTGGCTACGGTCAAACTTCTAAAATAAACCACACCTGTCTTTCTCTAAATGCCCGCTGTGGGTCGGACTGATTCAAAGCCTCCTGGGAGCCGCTGCTTACCAGGCCCTGAGCAGAGCACCTGTGCTAAGGCTGCAGGACTAGTCCTAGGCTACTAACTAGGTTAAACAGTAACGTGAAAAGCAAGGGAAAAGAAAAAAATGTGAGATAATGAAAAGATGGAAATAAAGTGCTTGTAGATGGGGAG